TATATATACATATATATGTGCGTGTGTACACACACACATACACACATATATATATACCTTCCCAATTGTAAGAGAATAGAGATGCATCTGAGTCTATGCTGAAAAAAAAATCTCAGAATCTTTATTTTCCCCCCCAGGTCCCAACAGCGGGGAAGGCCTTTTTGTGGCTTACGTTTATTACTTCTACCCGACGTCTCAGTGACTGCCATCGCCTGGTGAAGAAACTTTTGATCTAGGCCTGTGATTTGCCACCTATTTGTTGCTCGTTTGTCAACGTCTCGGGTGTTATTATTTTCCCCCGTTGTTGGAATAGCAAGAACCTGAACCAGCCATGTCAACATCGATGTGTGACCAGGTCGAGACGATGAGGGGGCGGAGCCAGGACTCCAACACTTCTAAGGACGACATGTTCAGTATCCTAAAAACAGAAGAAGTTTGTAACGACGGCGTGTTGCATCCTTCCGCCACAAATTCAGCCAGTCTTGACAGTGTGTTCTCTACATCGGACTCCAGTACATCTTTTAGTAGCAGTGGATCCTTCGATTCAAGTTCAAGTGAACTGACGGGAAAGCAGAGTCGACTGAATCAAATTACGTTTGCAAACTTCTGTGAGCGATACGAACGCACAGGACAAAAACTGGGTAGCGGGTCCTATGGTTCCGTGGATACTTTTCGCAATCGTGAATCAGGGAGAGAGTATGCGGTAAAAGTAATCAAGAATTGTGACAATAAAAGCCGAAAAAAAGTATGGACTGAAATTGACATTTGTCAACGTTACAGTTGTGACCATATCATCAAACTTGTAGAATTCTGTGAGATTGGAGACATGTTTTTTCTAATTTTTGATAAGATGGGAGGAGGAGACCTAAGAGGGATGTTGGAATCACGTGATTGTCTTCGTCTGAGTGAGACAGAAGCCTCTAAAGTTATGAACGCCCTGGCCAAAGCCCTCCAGGCTCTTCACGTCGATGGTGTGGCCCACCGGGACATAAAATCTGAAAATATTTTGTGCAAAAATTCAGGAGAGGTCACACCACTTGTGTTATGTGATCTTGGGCTTGCCAGTGACCTCGCTTCTCGATCTGAACTCTCAAAAGGGGACATAAGTAAGACTACTCTGACGTCACCGGTCGGCACCCCTATGTACATGGCGCCAGAAATTGTCGCTTTAATGTGCGATGAGTCTAAGCAACCTTACGACACCAGCTGCGACATGTGGAGTCTGGGAGTTTTGTTGTACGAAATTCTGTTCGGTGTGATGCCCTTTCAACGCGGCTGTGATGAGCACCGTGGTAGTATAGATTTCTCCTGTAAAGACTGCAAGATCCTCATGTACCAGGACATCCTTCGAGGGGACTACAGCTTTCCTGTGAATGTTGGAGAGTTTTATTCCCACAGCGCCGTGGATTTGATCAAACGTCTGCTAGTGGTTGATCCCCAAGCCCGCTACTCGGCCGCCGAAGTACTGCAGCACCCCTTTCTAACCGAGCAACATGAGTGGTAACCTCGTCATGCGAGCATCAGTGTGTGGGGGGAGCCTGTGATCAGCGCCGTCACCCACGCACTCATTACTCTGTGCAATGCCAGGGTGTCTCACATGAATATCCTGCCGAAAGTATCTTGGGCCACATCGATCGTTCTTTGTGAATTTGGGATTGCAAGTTACTCCCACTCTCGAAGAGACCCCCCGCCCCAAAGGAGACATGACGAAAACCGCTCTGCGTCTCCCTCTGACCACCCTATATTACATCGCTTTCTGACATGAACAGTAAAGTCTGTGCGATGTTATGGTTGTCACTTATCGATCATTAACACTGTACATTATTCTAAGCTTCTGGTCTTGACATAACCAATAGATTTACACTTCTAGGCGCCGCCTCTCTCTCTCTCTCTCTCTCTCTCTCTCTCTCTCTCTCTCTCTCTCTCTCTCTCTCTCTCTCTCTCTCTCTCCCTCCCTCTCCCTCTCTCTCTCTCTCTCTCTCTCTCTCTCTCTCTCTCTCTCTCTCTCTCTCTCTCTCTCTCTCTCTCTCTCTCTCTCCCTCTCTCTCTCGTGTTGCTGCGCGATGGACACATTCGATATAGCGGAGTACGTCATGTCAATGCAAAGTTATTTCTTCATCAGCACTTTATCTGCGAGGTAGTTTATTTCTTTTTGACTGAATCAAAGCGCATATGGCCTATAAAACTTTTAAGAAGAAGTATGAAAAGATGTGGGTGTGTCATGGGAACCTCCCAACAACCCCACCCTCTCTATCGTCTCGAATCCCAATTCCAAGCCCCCCACCTAATTTATGAGTTTGGCATTAAATTAAATCAAGAATAGTCATAGAAAAAAAATTCCCGAATTTTTCTGTCTACAGGGCTTTGAAGGCAATGAAGCTGTTGATGAAACAAATTCAGCCAAACAAGTACTAGTATTCTAAAAATGGAGTTAAGCTTTCCCTTGTGACATTTAGACAGGAAACTGTATTTTTCATTCTTGTGTTCACTTATTTTTTAGAATTGTACAAAATCAGTAGCGTTTTCTTATGTCGGTATTAAACGTTGGTTTATATTGATTTTAAAAACTAATCTACAGCATTCAAAGCTCTTTCTATTGCTGTATTAAGTAAGTCTACTTTTGGACATTAGCCAAACAACTCTTTTCTTTCTGTGACAACTATGGACTCACTAAATATAAGAAAATGGACTGAATTTTGTTTTGTAGCCTGATCCATTGTCTTTCAACACAGTGTAGTGATAACTCAAACAAAAACCTTTACCAAAGTGTTTTCGGACAACACTTAATTAGACTTACTTGTGGCAACTAAAACTGATCCCCAACTTGTCTGCATCACCGATGGAGAAAACAAACCATGTCTACTCATTTTGTGACGAACAGAGCCAGTGTTGTGTTGAATGTGTAACATAAAAAAGTACACTGTTTGAAAAAGAAATTACCTGTCCATTGTGAAAAAGAAAGATCTAGCTGCTAGTCAACCTTAACTTCATATGGCCCAGAACGTTACGGATGACTCTTTATAAAAAATTTAAAAAACAATCCGAAGTAACTATTTTTGCCTATTTATTCCCTTATGATTAGGGTTAGCCCTTCATACTTGATAGTATTCAATTGGCCCAAATTGTCACTGCCAAAAAAATTTTTAAGGGACGATACATAAATATAATTTTTGCTACTCAAACCATTAGATGTATACCAAAAATAGTGAGCCATCATTCTATTTTACTACAAAATTGAAGACATGTGACACTATTAAAAATCTATAATGATATAAGCAGCCAAACTTACTGTAGTCCAATAGCTTTATATTCAACCTCTATATGCGCCTCCCTGTCTCCCCCTTACCCCCTACCTCCCACCCCACCCCCAAAACCACCCATAGATGATGTAATGAAAGAAAATAGACATCACTGAACTGCCTGACAAAAGCAGTGATGAGTTGTTTATAGTGCGGTCGAAAATTCGTGACGCAACTTACTGTCAAATATCTCCTCAACTATCTAATAGGGTTCTCCAATTTTTGCACCATGACTTGTATCAATTTAATTTGTCTTAAGAGATCAACGATTTTGTAAATATATGTTAGCTGTATTCTAGAAAATTCCTTAATAAATGCTAATAAAATATCCAAGTGGGTGGTTTCTACAGATTTTAAAATGTTTACAGCTGTGGCAATATTGTTTTTTACTAGCAAGTCGGTCATGTTTTTTAAAATAATTTGGACATTATGCTTATTGGACGCATGTTTTGAGAACTAGATCTATTAGTGCAAAAATGTGTTCACTAAAAACCCTTTTCTTTTAACAACTTTTGCTACTAAAAATTGTAACTGAATTGCTGTAGCGTAGGCCATATGCTTTATCAAAATGTATGTGAGAATCGGGAAGTGCTGTGAACAATCCCATTTTACGATTTCAAGTATTTTATATAAATGTATGAAGAAAAGTTTTTTAATCCAAACCCAATTGTTCTGGGAAAATATTATTTAGTTAAGACAAATTGATACAAACTGCTGTGCAAAGTATGGATGCCGTTGATTCTCCTGTTAAAGAGATATTTGAGGCTAAGTTACGCAACGAGTTTTTGACCGCACTATAAAATCATTCGTGCAATAGAAAATGTGAACCAAACACAGATTATTATGCTATGCATGTAGCACACTCAGCGCTAAGTGCAGTTTGGCTGTGGTTTCTTCTGTCACTAATGTAATGGTATCCTATTACATCACATTATACATTTTAGATACGAGCAAGGTTACAGTATCAGCCTATCCTGGGTTGCTCCCATCCATCATCATCCCATAAAAATATGATTGTTCTTACTGTTATATTACTATGGGTGCATACTTGAATGTCCATGTGTAATATCTGAAGTCAGTGAGTCAAGTCAGTGAAATTAATACCAAAGATTAGTAGATCTAGTTTAGATTTTGTGATTTTTAAGAAGGAAATTAAACACAAAAGCGTGGCAAAATTGTAGCGGTTAGATCTGACATTAATGAACAGAAAGGTAAGCTTTGACTAGACCAGGCTCATAATCTTTTCGAATAGTTTCTTCAAAACGTAGATCTGGATCTAATCTGTCTAAATTCTTATCAATCTTATTTTTACCAGTGACAAGAAAGAGTGGTTTCTGTGGAGGCTTTCTTAGGGTACAGATAGACACGGCAGTGTTGCAACATCTCGTATAGTCTCGTTTTCTTCAGTCTTCCACTTCCAGACAAATCATACGTTTGCTGGTGATGAATTTAAAGCAGAAAAGATCTCTAAGGATGAAAGACGTTAATCCAGAAAGTGACTAACTGTTTCACACGCTTGGATTTTAAGAGAATCTCTTTGGATTAAAACACAACGTTCGAAATCAATAAAAACACCTTCTTTAATAAGAGCAGGTTCACGCCCACTCTCATGTAAATAAACTTCTTTGCCAACACAATTTTGGAAACGTTTTGAAAAGGCCGTACTCCAGTGTGCTTCGGATTTCTCGTCGCTTCACACCCAGACTCTTGATACAAACAGGTTTGAAAGTGACCACGTCAGAACACCAACCTGAGTCTTTCTACCACAGCCATAGTAATACCGTTCTTAGCACAAAGAGTACCTGACGATATGTGACATAGTCCACGGGTCCAGTTTGCCATGATGACACACTATTAATAGAGGAGAAGATTATGATAACTGAGTGCAAATGGACTAATAATAGTATGTTTCTTCATCTCAATGCGCCTAACCCCCCACCGTACTAATCTTTGAATAAAAGTATTTAAAAAAGAAATATGTGATTTTGTTTTTAATGCTGTTTTTATCATTGTTTAAATACTGAATGTGTCGTTGTCTACTCGGCTTTCCTCTTCACTTACTTAGAGTGTCTGTCCGTCGCCAGTGTCTGTACTTTACACTATGTTGTTTGCCTGTCTTTCTACTTTCCTTTTTGTTTGCTTGTTGTTGGTGGTGATGGTAATGGTGATGCAGTCGTTGTTGTTGTTGTTGTTGTTGTTGTTGTTGTTGTTGTTGTTGTTGTTGTTTTTGCAGTTGGTATGTGTGCTTGTGTGTGTATGTGTGTGTGTGTGTGTCTGTATGTGTGTGTGTACGTGTGTGTTTGTACGTGTGTGTTTGTGTGTGTGTTCTGCTTTCGAACCCATCTTCACCTGTTGTATGGTTTTTAAGGGAACTCAATAAGGTAAAACTGGCCTAGGTGTAACCAGAGCTAGAGCAACAATGTTCACGATCTTTTTAAAAAAGACAGAAGAGATTTTTTTTAAAAAACCGGAGCACCTTCTCTTTGCTCGTCTATTGGTTTATAATCCACTTCCTTTTCCATTTCCTCTTGTATTGAAGCTGGAAGGAACATTTAAATATTTGTTGAAAATCTTGGTTTGTGAGAATTTCATTTTTCAATGCTGTTGTTTTCTTCTCACAATGAGTCATTGGTTATTTGCTAATGATTAGTATAAGCATTTATAGTACATAAGAGAGCGGGTTGTCGGTGAATGCACCAAGAGCACAATGAAATCACCCAGGGCCTAGTTACGGGTTGGGCATCTTGATTTTTTTTTCGGACCAAGATGCAACAACCTCTTGGGTCAAGCCAGACTAATTCTAGTTAACCTCTGGTGATGGTTAGTTACAATTATAACTTATATTATTTCTAATTTGTCATTGTGTACAACAGGAAACCCCCCCCCCCCCCTAAAAAAAAGCAAAACCAGTACATACTGAAGAGATATTCAGATCCTGCAAGCTTTTCTTATTCCATGCTTTGTATTAAAAACACACACATAGTGTTCATAGTAAAGCGTTCGTACATGGCGAAAACCAAAAAAAATGGCATCAGCGAGGGAAGATATACATTGTAACTAAATTGCTCTTCTCTGCAACTTCACCAAGACCTAAGTTTGCAGAACACTGACAAGCTGTTGCCCAGTGTGTAATCTCTGTTGATATGAAGATGAAGCGCACTGACACGAGTGCTGAATGTGCGTGCCTTCAAGCGATGGAAAATGTCTGCTCGCAAACGACTTCAACTCTTTTATATTTCAGCCCTAATTTTAGTTTAATTTATTCAGACTAAGCTTTCCGGGGTCTTGTACTTAATTAAAAAGCAAATCCTATGATTTTTTCCTGTATTTTTGAACAACTGGAAGCGTTCGAGTCAAAAGTTTTGCGCAGGCAGATTGGTTGCATCAAGGGCTAATAACAGGTTGCACTGATTGCATGTGGTTGCACACAGAGCGAAAAAGGAAAATAGTATTTAACCCCTAAAGGTTTTTTTTTTTTTTTTTGCCTTTTCTTTTCATACTGGCACTGTCAGGCTCACTTTTGAACCATATGAATCGACTGCTATTAAAGAAATTCCCTTTG